GGGGGGGGGGGGGCCCGGAGCAGGCCGGCCTGCCTCCCTCCCTGACCCTTCTCATCGCTTTCATTTCTCTCTCTCGGAATAAATGTGTTTCTTTGCCCTGCACCGCACTGCACGGAGGCCCCATTCCAATACGTTTGGAAAATGAAGAAACGGAGCGGAGCCGTGCGGGTGGGTCACCCACTACAGCCCAAACCTAACCGCTGTGGCACTTTTTGGTGTATCTCCTACTTTATTTTTCTCCTCCTTTTAATCTTCACCCAAGGAGTGAGGATATTTTTTCCATTGATTTTTAAAGTATATATCTTTATTGATTTCAGAGAGACAAAGGGAGAGGGAGAGAGAGAGAGAAACATCAGTGATGAGAGAGTCATGGATCGGCTGCCTCCTGCACGCCCCTGCCTGGGGATCGAGCCTGCGGTCTCCTGGATCCTAGGCTGATGCTCAGCCGCTGAGCCACGCCGGCCAGGCTCTCCATTGATTTTTTTAGAGAGAGTGGAAGCGAGGGGGTGAGGGGGAGAGAGAGTGAAAGAAACATCGATGTGAGAGAGACACATCAATTAGTTGCCTCCTGCGCATGCCCCCATCGGGGGCCGGGAATCGAATCTGCAACCCAGGTGCGTGCCCTTGACTGGGAATTGAACCCGGGGCCCTTCAGTCAGAGGGCCGACCCTCTAACCACTGAGCAGCACCGGCCGGGGCTCTCCTACCTTTTGCATAACAAAAATTTTTGACATAGTTTCATCTGTGTGCATCTTATCTGGATCCAGGGCAACCAGAAAACCCACCCTCTACAGCTCTGCCAAGTGTGTGTCTGCTTGTTTCTTTAGCCTCTGGGAGACAGGCCCCTGTCCCTCCATGGCTTCCCTCTTTTGCCAGGCCCATCTGGAGGCCCCCCTCCTTTCACGTGGCTGCTTTGCCGCTTGGGCTTTCCTCCTGAGCCGGTGGAGCCCATTGAAGTCTTGTACCCATGTGGTCAGTCCCAGGATCGGCTGGTCCCATTCAAAGACTCACAGATCGACAGCCAAAAACTAATTAGAATGGAATTCCATTCCTCCTGATGCCCCTTGAAAATGTCAGAGGAGCCCGATTCATAGTCCTGGCAACCTTCTCTGACTCTTTTCTCTCCCAGCTCTCAACGCCCCCTTCTAAGGCCCCTGGCCCCCCCAGCTCTGCTGGCAACCCGAGACACACTCTCTCCCTGCTTTTTCCTTTCAATGGACTGAATCTTTCCCTGGCTCCTCCAGGTAGAGGAACCTCTGTTTCTGCATCTCCAGACATCCAGGAACCAGAGGGGCAGAGAGAGGCCATCCTAAAGGCTGTGGGCAGGGCGCCAAGGCAGGGTTGTGTTTATGGGGTTGGACGGGCAGGCTGTGCGAGGAGGAGGGAACTTGATCATGTTCTGAGCACAGGTCATGCTCTGAGTTAGAACTGGCTCAGGTGAGCCACAGGCCCTCATGAAAATGCTGAATGGGCACTGGGCGGGCCGTTAGGAGGGATTCCTGGCCTGGGATTGGGCTCCTGAAGGTCCCTGGGGCATGGAGCATGGGGGACACTGCTGGTCACACAGTAGGTGCTCCATAGATGGCCACCATTGTTACTGTGCACATCTGCCCAGGCCTGAGAGCACACTGGCCCTTCTCCTCCCTGCCTGGCTACGGGGGAGGGCCATGTCAGGGGTACACGCTCTCCAGGGCGGGGCTCACAACCTCCTGTGTGTTGGCAGACGGGCCCCCCCTGGCAAGTGTCAGATCCAGCCGGCCCAGGTGAAAGTGAGGAGCCGCCTGATCCGCTTTGTGCCCAAAGAAAGTAAGTGCCCGCCAATGGGGAAACGGTGGGGGCGTGGGTCCTCAGCTGGACCTGGATGCCCTTCCTCGGCCCCTATGCCCGGCCCTGTGCTGGGCACACCTTAGACACTCAGTTAAAGAGGGCAGTGGGTGCCAGTCCCAGGCTGCGGGTGGGTGGCACCAAGGGGCTGCAGGTCTCAAAGGGGGCATGGCAGAGGGAGAAGTAGCTGTTGCCAGGGAAGAAACACTCCGATTTCATGAGAGGGACAGAGAAAGAGGGGGTATCCATGTGTGAGCAAGGAATATTGTAGTTATTCCAGGCTTGAGGGCCTCTAGGGGAGGGAGCATCTGGGCTGGACCTGCCACAAGATGGTTCCACTTTGATGAGGGTGGTGGGGAGGGAGTGGGGACTGCCAATCTTCACATCTGAGGGGCTAGGCAAGGCCACCAATGACTGCCTCTGGGATGGGGATGGGGGGCAACTGGAAGGGGCATGTCCTGAGGAAGGGGATGTTCCTCCAGGCCCAGGCCAGGTGAGAAGAGAGGCCTAGTGCTGCCAGACCTTCCTGTTCTTAAGAGAAGCAGGAAGTCCGTCCACTAAGCATTTAATTCACTCGGTTAGCACCTGCATGAGCTTCACTCTGGGGCTGTAACGCCGAGCGAGACGCATTCGATGTCTGCCTTCTAGAGATGTTACATACAAACCTCCCAATTTGAAAATGTTGGCTTTTAAAAGCCGCCTTGTGGGCCAAAGGAAATACTTTGGCGGGCCCAGTGTACCCAGCTGGTCACCAGTTGGCAGACTTGGTGTGGGGTTTGCAGGAGGAGGGGGAGGCTGGGCACCTGGCAGGTGGGGGCGCCTGGCCCTGAGGAAGGGGTACCCTGGGTAGGGGAAGTTGGGGGAAGAGAGGAGCTAAGTGTCAGGAGAAGTTAAGTCTAGCCTCAGATGGCTTCGGGCCTCGGCCAGTTCTCCATCCGCTCATTCAGAAGTTTCTGGCGCTTTTGTGAGTGACCTGCTCTGTGCAGGATGCTGGCCACAGAAGTCAGACCAGGCCGGGTCCTGGCTGGGACACACAGAGATGTCATTTAGTGTCCCAGGCCCAGTGACAGAGTGTGTGTCGAGTGCCATGGGGACCCAGGGCAGCACAGGAGGAGGGTGGTGGTGGTCTTGGAGCTGAGGCTGAGGGCTGAGCCTGGAAGGAGGGGGAAGGGTTGGGGGTGGGGCAGGGCAGGCAGACAGAGCAGCAGAGGCAGAGCCGGACGTGAGGGGCGCTCACCCTGTCCAGAGGGGCCTGGCCTGGCTCTCCTCCTGCCCATTCCCCCGTGGCCCCTCAGCGATTTTCCCCATCAGTGGGCCTTAGCGTCCCCACCCTTAAACAGAAATTTGGAACCAGGAAGGGTCACTTGCTCAGAGAGGCCCTCCCAGAGGCAGCTTCCCTTCCACTGAGCTCCCTTTACAGTGTGAGGGTCTGACCCCGCCCCCACCTTCCCAAGGCTGGGACTCCCAGGAGGGCAGGGCTGGGGCCCGGGAGACCCAGCAGTGGACCCGCGGGAAGCAGCGGGCAATGAGTGTTTGATGAAGCAGCACCTGGCACCAGCTCCAGGTCCACAGCCTGTGGGGCCAGGGTGACCCAAGAGGCAGGCCAGCCTCGGTGTCTGAGTGGAGGGTAGGCGAAGGACATCTTTCCCTGGCGTCTGCGCTCCGGAGTGGACAGCTGGGGTGGCCAGGGACCCTCTGACTACAGGCTCTTCCTCTGTGCAGAGTTCATCCGGAGGGCAGAGAGCACCCCGCGCCCCACAGCGCGCGCGCCCACCAAGGTGCCCAGGCGCAGCCGC